CCTAGGTCACACGGCCCAAATATGGAAAAACCTTGTTAACATTCTTGAGGTCATATTTTCGACTCAATTATCATCAAACTTGGTCAGGATGCTTGTCTAGGTAATTGCTTGGATGAGTTCGAAATCGCATGTGAAACTAGGTCACCGGAGCTAAAAATAGAAAAATCTTGTTAACACTCTAGTTGCTACTGTTTTGATCCAAGTATCTTGGAAATTGGTCTGAAAGTTTGTTTTGATGATTTCTAGGTCAAGTTTGAATATGTGTCACCTGGGTAAAAAACTAGGTCGCACTGCTCAAATATGTATAATCCTTGTTAACACTGTAGTGGTCACATTTTTGACTCACCTGTCATGAGACTTGGTCAGAATGCTTGTCTAGGTAATTGTTTGGATGAGTTTGATAAGTCAGGTGAGCGATCTAGGGCCATCATGGCCCTCTTGTTTTAAAAAATGTTTAAAGCCGGCGAAAAACAGTTATAATAATGAGACGAAAACCTTCAATTCGGCGTCACGTTCATTAATTCTCAAATAAAAGTACAAGTCTGATAGACAAGGTCATTCCTTTGAGGATATCAATTTATATGGCATTACACCTTACTTGAAATAAATAGCCAGTAGATACTTCCAGACGAATTTAATGACATTTGTGCCATATGTTACAATTACAATTTCTATAGTAGACGACGTATTCTTTGTAGAAGAATTAGCTTTTTTTCGTTCATATATTTGTTTGATTTCTTTACATTTACATTAGGCAGACAAAAGAAAATCATATAATCTGCCATTAATTAGACTTCTCAAGACAGAATGAAGCCTAGAGATATATTATTAAAACAAGTAATGTATAACACGAAGTTTCATGTAAAATATAATTGTAATCTGATAAATCATATCTCGTTGTAAGAAGTAGCTAAATGTATGTATTGATAGATAAATTTCGTTATCTTTTCCTGTCAATCTTAGCATACAATCGATTTTTATGTATATAATACTTAACATAAAATATCCGTTTTCACCTTGAATTTGTTTAGATAGTTATCATGACAAACAGATTTAAGGCCCACTTGATCTTTTAATGTTTTAATTGTAATATGAATGATTATCCTGTAATTTAATTTACATTTTCAAAACTGTGATTTACAAATCAATAAATATAAGTTTCATTCGTGTATACTTAATTTTGTAGGCTTATTTTACGATCCCTTGTAGCAATTAAGGAACTGTTAAGTTTAACAAAACTGCATAGACAACTATATGGTTGTTGTTTTTGATACGTGTTGTATTCAAAGAAGGTTTTTCTGCAACAACATTTCAGTATACATACAAATAGACTATACTTTCCTATTTAAACATTTTCTAAGTAATGTATTCTATAGTGGCGTTGTTGCTTGTTGTATTGTTCTGGCTACACTGTAGATGTAACATCTGTTGTTGTTAACGGTATGCCAGGTATGTTACATCAATATTATATAGACAGGTTTTTCACTGGCTTATACGATATTACATGTTAACTGTGTATCGGATAAAGATGTTGGGATATATTCTATTATAGAATTTGTGTAAGACAATTTACGTAGTATACTACTAGTATTGTTTCATGAATTCTGAGAAAAATACAAAGTGATATTATTAATTAAAGGGATAAATATTGTGTTTTAATTATCAATGGTAAGATAATTCATCATTGATTATTCTAAGGTTGGTCACAATGAATATTAATTCATCATGATGCACTTTAATCAAATGATAAATTATTTATAAGATTGCTATTAAAATGTGGTATAATTTAGTTATTTGAAACAAATCAAATGGCACATATATCATTTTAATGGTACTTATTTGCAGTTGTTGCGAATAATTTATAAATGTTCATTTTTAAACAATGTGTATCATTGGAAATATGTTTTGGGTATTTGAATTTCATGACTATATTGTGTATATTGATAATATTGATAAAGTTAATTGTTTATGGATCGTTTTGAGGATGTATATAGTTATTCTATATTTTAAAAACATCGAACATCAATTATTTACACCACTTGTCGCTTATACATATATTCGCATTAAAGCATTTTAGAGACAAAATATACATGTATACAGTTTAAGATCTAAATAAGTTTTGAAAATATAACACCACATTCATCTTTGTTTTGCTGTCAATGGTAAAATGAATAAATATAAGGTATTTATTCAAGATGACCTTGAAACATGTTTATCTTATATAAAAGACAAAGAATATGCATAGAGTACTTTTAACAGCGAAGATAAAACTATAAAATTGGTTTGTCTTTCATAGTTAACTAAGACGATTGCTACTTTGTGTATTGTTTGAGAGTATATGGTTATTCATCATTCAGTATATTTTATATGTTAATTCTGTTATTGTAAAACAAAACGAATGCATTATCAAACAAGTCAGGATAATAAATGACATTATTGCATGAATGTTAGGATATTTTCTTTTGTCTTCATTGTTGCTATGGCAACGTAAATCCGTCTTAATAATCTTATAATGATTATAAAGACGATATGTAATATAATAATTATGTAATGTCAGTGGGAAATTATACGGTAGTTTGGTTTCAGTTCTTTAAGGACCTTCATCAAAGTATATTTGATATCAACATTTATTGAATTTCCTTCATTGTTTTAATGAGTACACGCGATATTAGTGTCTTGGATTTAACGGTAATGACGATAATCCCCCCTTTTTTTTGGACCCAATTCTTTTTTATAAAATATATTTATCATTTGCATTAAATCAACATAATATGATATAAATCATTGCAAAATGAAAATCCATACACACTTCTGTAGAAGTCGCAAAAATATTACTAATTGTTATCTCTTTTGTAAAAGTAGTTTTCCGCAGATATTATTTTTCAGGTCTATTCTAATTCATAGCGTCTAACATTTAATTCATTTTTAGATGTGTATATATCTCAAGAAATTTTGTATTGTGGTGACAAAATGATGGCGTTTTTTTAAAATGTCTGTATTTAAAACATGTTTTTAGGTGGTTTATAGAAATATATAAGTGAAATATAAAACTGATAATTCCACTGTTTGAAACAGTGAAATTATCAATTTGGTAATTTCACTGTTTCGAATTTAGGCCCCTTACGTTGTTTCAGTGAAATATCAGCATGCACAGTGCTGGAAACCAACTTTATATATTTCATCTCGTGAACACCAAAAGTTTTAATTTCACTCGTGACTGCGCCACTCGTGAAATATACCTTTTGGTGCTCACTCGATCAAATATATTCCGATCTTACAATGACCTCTATATATTTTGCAACGCTCACAAGTGTGCAAGCAAGTACAGTCTGTACTGTTGACATACCATTTTTTAGAAGATCCATGCTAGTAGAATGATTAGTTTGTTACTCAAAATTCAAAAGATCTCAAGTGCATTACACAAATTAAAAACGAAACCACATGTAAAATAATCAAGGATAAAACGTTAATATTTTATGTCTGGGAAATGGGGCAGATATATTGTTCACATATTATACGCTTTTATTGGTTAATGATTCGCTGTGTTCTCTATTTGTGTTTAATGTAGCAACTGGTAAATTGGTATGCCAGGTATGTGTAGATTACATGAATATTATATGGAAAGTGTTCACGTGCGAGCTATTGCGTAGAATAACCACAAGTAGCTAATATACATGGTACAAGATTACGCGTTGAATAATGTTTATAGATTACTACTTCTGTAGCATTTTCACATTTCTCGTTATATATCATAGGATCTGAGCAGAATCTAGGTGACTTTTTACAGCTAAAATATATCTTTAATGTATTCAGATGTAAGTCAAGTTACTCAAAGATGTTTTACATAATGAACTTGAGAAATGTTTTGATACTCTATACACAGTGGTTGAAATGTTATTCTTGTATATAAACCTTATTTTTAAAAGATGTTTCTAAAACATAATCATAATAACAGAGTAAGATTTCTACATAATATGAATGTATCAACGGTACATATGAGATATATATTATATCAGAGTTATCCTTCTACAAAAGAAATGATAAAAGCAGAATAAAAGTATACATAGTAAAGCATTTTGTAAAGCCTTTAAACGTCTTTTTAACATACATAACATGTACTTACAAGAATATGAGATGCTTTTGATTTATGTTAACTTCATATTACAATGAACATGATAATCGAACAAAAACAGAATGTATGACGTATTAACATGAAGTCTCTTTTACTAATTTATATGGGAGACAAGTAAGATATCGACACACTTACATTGTATTCTCTCTGGCAGAGGAAAAGATATAAACGTTATGACGTTATAAACTTGGCCTTCTGACAACGTTTTCAAGTTTATGGCCAATTTATACAAAAAAAACGTTATTATAATGTTTAACAGATGATAGTATCTTGAGAAAAAATATTTTATAAAAATCTTTCTTTTGTATATTCTAAAGGACTTTTACTGTCATGTTTGTACGATTTGAGATGTAACATTGCAATATAAATTATATTAACATAATTCTTCACCTAAGTAATACAGTATTTTATTTAGAATGCAGGAATATATTTTGTTGTTCTCGCTATTTATTTGCATACACCTGTATGGAATATATTACTGCGAGCAATTTATAAAATGATCGGGCTTTTATTCTTGTTTAAATTATCATTGCTAAAAAGTGTTGTATGGTGAGCATTAAGATAAATTAAAATGAATTATGCCAGTTTGATAGGAATATATTTGCATGAAAGTCGAACTAATCAAAACATTAAAAATTGAATCTGATTACCTCAACATTTATACTTTTTACCATAAATTACTTCAGGACGTGATCCTATTCGCAAAATAACATTACCTGTAATATCAGATGTATCTCATTGTGCTATTTGTAGATAAAATGAATCGGTCATGGAAAACGTTTATGTAAATTTGTTTTAGCTAAAGTAAACATTGTGTTTCTAAATGAAACAGAAACAATATTACAATATTCTTTCTTTAACATTTCAGGTAAATAAACATTTGTGAAAAGAATTTTTGGTGGATAAAATATGAACAGTATGGCAATGCAGGGTAGAGTAAACGATCCTCTCTTTCACTTTGAGACACATTTTCCAGAACGATTGTCTCGTTTACATCTCAATCCGGAATTTTCTGGTGGTAGTCATCCAGCTCAAAGAAAGAACAAACGCTCACGTGCAAGACATGGTACGCGATACAAGACTCAGCCAGTAACATTTGATGAAATCCAAGAGGTAGACGAAGAAAGCATTAAAGAGGAAGATAAAGAAAAGAAGACAGACGGATTAAAACATCAGTTCGCAGCTTTCTCTAAGTCAATGGACGGTTTAGTCCCTAGATTTAGAAGTAACATTACCGATGATGTTATTCAAGAAGTGGTAGATGATACCACAATTGATGTGAAACCAAATAGGACAAAAATTGGAAATATAGGCAGAATTCATTCAGACTCTCCAGAGCTAAGATTACAAATAGGAGAGACTGAAGAAAGTTGTAAAGAAAATAAAGAAAATGAGCCTAACAATGGCACAAAATCGGAAAATGCGCCATTAGGATTACCGCCATCTGGGCCGAATACGCGAAGACAACGAACAACGGCAAAGGCGAAGAAACGTCAAATGCAAGGCGAAGTACAAGGTGGAGGTGATAAGGGAACGTAGGAAACAAATACTTTCGTTATTTCTTTTATTTTTGTTTAGAATTTTAAATGTCGTAGCGTGTGAGTTAGTCATGGTATGCGTTATGAAATACGTAATGTTCCAGTTATTCATATGTGCCTTTGAGATGAACAAAGAAAATCTGAACAACCGGATCATTAGTTTAAGCTGTCATTTTATGGACATTGATATTTTTAAATTAATAAAGAAATTGTCGAGGAAAAATGATTCATTATATTAAGTTGTTTACATTTAAGACTTTGATTTGAAGAAAAGTCATAATACAAAATTATGATTATTGTAAGCAAAACTGCGCTCGAATGATTCGACCGCTAATGCTTAAGAGCAACTGAAAGCGAAGAAAAGTGTTAGTGAAAAATGAAACAATAAGAAACCCGTTGGCTGGAAAATTGCTGAATATCTTAGTTGGAACTTACAAGAATGTGATATCATCTTTACATGATTCTCTATTTTGTGTTTGTTTAAAATAATAATATAATATAAACCTTAAAGTGTATTCATTTCAATGAAAAAACTTCATATAATTTAAAAAGTGAACATTCTTACTTTTGCATCGAATGTATATGAAAGGGAAATAATATATCAAAAGGACTATGGTTTCAAATTACCGAATAAAACAGACACCATAAGAACAACAAGGGGCAAAACAACCATAGTTTCTGTGTGTTAATAAATTTTTAAGTTTTAAGTATCATTTAATAATTCAGATAAGAGAATATCGAAGTAAAACTTATATTTGCTCGGTTAGATTTGATATTGTGATTAAAAGTCAAAACTGGATAATAATTTCCTTGAAATATAAAGTATATTTTATCATTTGACAACTATTTAGATGAAGTCAGTTTCTTTTTAGTAAAAATAAGGCATCACATCATTCAGTAGTGTCTTGAAGTCTGGATTCTGCTTTTGGATTAAAGTAACACATTGCAATTTCTAACTGTTGTGTTAAAACATGATTCCGTTTTTTGGATTTTAACAATTTCAATCTCCCGATAATTGCTTAATGACTTCAAATCATTTCCCTTTGAATTAAAGTGGCACAGTTTCTAGAAAGTATGTTTTCGTATTTTGATTCAGTAACATACTGCAATATCTAGTTATTTGTGATGATATTTTAATTTAACTTAGAGTTTAACATACGATATAGCCACTGCAGAGCAACACTTTTTGGGAGATAAAACAGTGGTTGTTGTTGTTGTGAGGTGTTGCTCTAAGCAGATAGTAATAATAGTAGTAATAATATTTCACTTTGGGGGAAAATGATACAGTCGCTGTAAAGAGGTTATTGCTGTTTAGAGGGCCACTCTGCAGAGGTTACTGTGTAACATTTAAATTATGTGATTAAAGGGACTCCACTGAGGTTTTTTGACGTGAAGGGACCGAAAACATTTTTCAAAAGTTTTTTTGTATAAATAGTACAAATTTTCAGATCATTCGCTTATTTCGTTTCCTAGAAATAATCACATTTATTGTGCAATTGGCCCAAAAAATGAAAACGCTTTTCACTCAAATCGGCCAAAATGGCATAAAAATCGATTATCTATACTTAATACTGTGTATATTTATATATCATGTATTGCTTTGTTTCAAATTTAAATGTACCAGTTTATTTAAGAAAGAATTTCAAAATTTATTTTTTAGGGTATGGACCTCAGCGGAGTTCCTTTAAAATTAAATTCTGAATCTTAATTCCTTCATTTGAAAGTTACATATCTTTACTTGCGCTTTGATTCTGAGTGGCATGGCAAAAAGCAAACACTTCTTCAATTAAGTTCGGTCTCAAAAAAGTATGTCTAATAAACGGAAAATTCAACTATTGATATATCAAACCTTGCTTCATTGTTATCAATATTTGTTTTATAAAAGTTTGTCTATCACATTACTGTTAATTTCGTTACATTGGTGCTAATGAGATTCTGTAAAATATAATCCAATTACTAGATGCACGTGCTTTGTTGTCACATGATTCAGAATATTCTCATAAGACATGCCATATAAAGTATACACGAGGAAACGACCAAATAAGCAAACCTTAAAATTGAAAAAAAAAACAACAAAAAACATGTAACAAAAGAACTAATAAATGGTAAGGATTGAAAAAGAATTGAAATCATGATTTGCTACTCTTGACTTTGAAATAATGATTACTTTTACTTCATAACGTTATTTGAGTGAGTATTAAAAAAAAAACATCTGTCAAATGGTATTTCTGGTTTGCAAACTGCATAGTCAATATATCCAATTTAGCAAGTTAAATATACACGTATTTGCAATTTGCGTTTCTTCTTGAGCCAAATTCATACGCATTTAGACAGCTTCTTGTGTTTAGATATTACTATCGAAATCTAGACGCAGGGAATTCTTGATCAGAGATTGTTTCAGTCAGGAATCAAGAGTTAGATCTAATAAAAAAGGACGGTGACATTACAGACCTGAGGCAGACAATAGATGCTGAGATTTTATATAAAAACAAGTACTAAATATTCGGGAATTACTCTAGATGACAAATTTTTACTTCCTTATGACAAGAAGATGTATCCCTGTGATGATTATAAATTATAATAATAACATTATGTTACCGACAAAGCATTGCTTATTTTTGAATAAGAAGTTTTGTAAAAATAACAGCGAAATAAGACTATCAACAATGTTACCGACAAAGCATTGCTTATTTTTGAATAAGAAGTTTTGTAAAAATAACAGCGAAATAAGACTATCAACAATGTTACCGACAAAGCATTGCTTATTTTTTAATGAGACGTTTTGTAACAATAACAGCAAAATAAGACTATCAACGATTCTGTCGTTTTAAATTCATACCAAGCATTTTTTTTTTGAATTTCAAGGTCTTATTAATAAATGTAACGGGAAATAAAGCCGACATGACATTCAATTAACGGTTGCGTAATTGGATTTACGAGATGACTAAGATGAATTATGCAATAAGGAAACATTTCAATCTGCTATTTTATGAGAGAAAAAACCCCACTATAAAACACAAAAATAGAATATTTAATAGAAAAGTGTGTTTTTATTATGTTTCCATTTGTTATAGTATTTTTCTTTCTAATTGTTAGGCACCGTTACTGTAAATGAGCTTGCAGTTATACTGCAGAGAAAATGTTCTATTGTGTTGACAGATGTAATGATTAGAGTTAAAAAATAACGTCAAACAAATTTGATCTAAATACCTTATTGGGAATATTTTGTATCGCACCAGTCTTCGTCCATTGAGAAAAATAAAACGAAACAACAACAAAAGACATCAATAAAAGCCATAAAACAAACAACAACAACAACAAATAACCACCAACATTTGTTGAAGTATATAATTTACAATACTCCCCATTTATATCTGCTTCTAAATAGTTAATAAGTTTTATGAAACGTCGTTATGAATGTACATCAGCTAAGGGTACGCTTGTTTAGTTTTAAAACAACAGCATGGAATTCCCGTTCTTTTTCATGCCCCGCAAAAATGTATTTATTTCTAGATGTACGGATAGGTAGACAGCAACTTTACACTTGATTACATGGTATCAAGTCTTATCAATGTATCTGACTACAAGTTGATCTGTACGAAGTATGCTTATAATTAGAAGACAGACCAAGGTATGTGCAATTTATACATGCAGAGTGAAAGACTACATCATAGCCAGACATATTTTAGTGTTAAGTAAATACCTACCAGTCTCACGATGTTACAGCATCAGATCTGGACATATGAAGTTGTGAGAACAGGATTTTTTTCCACAGCAACATGATGTATGTGTTAAATTCAAAATAGATTTAAAATAGCAATTTAATGGAAATGCAAAACAGAATTCAAACCCACTCTTTGGTGAAAGACAATTGTACGCCATACGTGACACCGCTATGAATTATGGTAAATCTACACCTCAGTTGGATTGAAAAAAAAAACCATTAAAGAGATATAATAAGCGTTTATAAAAAAAAACAAAACAAAAATAACAACAACAAAAACACACACAAAAAAAACAACACCCACATACACAAAAGCACTAAATGCGAAATAGACAAAATGCTAAGATAAGCCTCATATATCGTTTCTATCTATTGAATCTAAGCAGAGCATAAATTGAAAATCTGAACTACTTACAATCTCCCGAATACAGAAAAAGCATTTGAGACTCCCTATAGTTTGATAACAGTAATCAAATCTTGGAAAATGAAGAAAAAGAAACTTAAGATTTATTGAATGATGAATTTACAAATATTTATATCTCAAACCTTGCACATATGTTGCAGGTACTTAAGTATTAAAGGCTGTAACCATTAATCTAATTTCAATCTCTCTTAAAACGTTTATTACCTCGCTATTGAAATTTTCCTGAGGCTCATTTTTTATATTAAAGTAGATTTTTGCACCTTGCAAAGACATTTCAGATAGTTGCTGAAAATGAATATAGATTACTGTATTAAAGTTAAACTCTAGATATATTCAATGTGTTCTATTTTGTTGGCAATTGACGTAACAAGACATCCTATGACCTCTTGGGAAATATATTAACATTAGCATCAAAATAAATGAAGTATAATAAGAAATTGTACAATAAAAGCAACTGGTGTATATATTCTTTAACTTACTTTTAAACGATTGTTCGATATAAACAATCATTATTTTAAATATTACAATTGGTTAACATTATGATCCCTTTTTTTTACCCAGATATTTTCTCTGATCAAAAAGCTATTTAATCAAATTACTAACTTTTAAACAAAACTTTTTGTTTAGTTTGTTCAACTTTTTTCGTACAACAAATTTGAAAATTAGGAAGGAACACCATCTTTAAGTAACAGTCTGAGAATAATTGGCCGATTGGTTGACAGTTTTAGTAAACTTGAATAATCATGGAATTTTTTTTGAAACATGCATGCATTGTTATACCTAGTAACACGGAAAACAAATGTGGTCATTATTAGTTAAGTTGTTATAAAGTACTTATTATACACTAAAATTGTGTGTAAAAATACTAATGATTAATTTTTATCTTTATCCAGATTGCAAATATGTATAAAATATATCTCAGACGGATACCTTTAGTGGTTTAGTGTTCCGAGGGAAATGGTTCATTATCTATCAGGATCTGTTAAGTGTAAACAGTATATATTTGACAAAGAGTGACAAAGAGTGTTCAGCTTCACTAACGAACTCTTTTATTTAAAAGCAGTTCAAAATGATATCAATCATTCTCTTGATAAGTAATTGGAAGTGAGATGTATGTGAGTAAATAGGTCTTATGAAAGCCATTAGCAGTATTGTTCTGATATGTAACCATTATACCCGACGATTCGACGGCTCATTTATGGACGGGTTTCAAATCCGGATGTCCCCTAAAATACTTTTATTCTTACTCATCAAACAATTTTTATTTTATTTCTATTTCATTTTTCTGTAGCAGCTTCTGAAACGGACCACATTGGCCATGCAACTAAACCATTTCTGCTTCTTTTCTTTTTTGTCAGTGGTAAAGTAAAGAAAGTGATTTAATATTATGTATAAATGATAACGTAATACATTCTTTACTTTTTGCTACATTTATTTCAAATCATTTTGCATTCAAATAAAATACTCTTCGTCAATTTATTAAACTTATAAAACACGCTTTGTTCTCTCTTCAGGGAGAATACCATATTCATTTCAGACATAAAACAAGCATATTGAAGTGCTTCTTCCTGTCAAATTAGATACTTATATTCAATTTGTTTTGTCTATGTTGTATTATGTATATTAGTGCAAAAATATTGTTCAATAATTGCAGTATTCAACAACTGTAAACATTTTGAAATGACTGTCCTTTTTGAAAGAGCACTTTCATGTTTTTGGATGTCTATCCCAATGAATCCGTGTACAATGTCTTACAGTTGATTTATGAATCAACGAAGCAGAAATGAACAACAGCATTTGCTATTCACGGCCGTCGATGAATACACATATTAATCGAACTAGATTTTGTCATTATACATTTTCAGGCGATTGTGACGGTTCGTATATCAATGAAGAAAGAATCCAGTGTTTAAAGATACAATGCATTCTTTTAATAGTCACATATCATTACAAAATAATTTCCAAAAATGACTTCTCATGTTTAGTAAAGATGTTTTAGACTCTTAGATTATATATATGTAATATCCAGTAGTGTTCACTTTTTCTATTTACATTTTCAACAAAGTTAAACACTGTAAGCAATGTAAAACAATGTAAAGCTAGAAAAATGTTCTAGATAGCGATTTAAGTATATCATTTTCGTTATTTCTATATAACTTGTAAGCAATGTAAAACAATGTAAAACCCATGTTCAAGTCTAAAAAAATGTTCTAGATAGGGTTCAAAAAACAGAGTTTCCTTTGTTTTTTACATACATTGACAGAAATGTAACAAATTTTAAAATCGTGTTCAAATCAAAACTAGAAAATTGTTTAAAGTGTTTTTTTTTCTAAATTAGTTGCTGAACGGACAAATGAACTACTTATACCATGTATTTCATAACTTGTAGTGTCAAGCAAAATGGCATCCTTTTAAGATATAATAACATTTAGATATTATTTTGACATTATTTTATCTTATTTTATCATTCAATTTTATCAGTATTATGGTAAAAGAAATGCAATCATACGATTCAACTTTTATGACTAGAAAATTAATGAAAAAAGGAATGTTGAATAGGTACGTCAAAAATGCTTAAATTTGTGACACATCTATACTTTCCATTAAATTCCTTTTTCAAGATATATCACCCTATCATTAATATTTTTTTTTTTGAAATTCTTCCTTTTAATATTTATTGTTATATATCATCTATTTTTCTTTCTTTTGTATATGCTTGCAAATTAAAAATCCCTCACATCAGACGACAGACGTTGTGATTAACGAAAAAAGAAGTTAATTGATATTCGAGATGGGTTCTTTATGACATATTT